CTCACGATCGATATACTTAAAGATAGTCCGAATATTATCATCGTTCGCTTGAACGTTTTATTCCACATCAGACGAGACATTGGCTTGACTTCACGATACATGAATGAAATTCAAAACAACCTAATCCTGCTCTAAGCTCTCTAGCATTTTATTTCGGAATACCGTGTGTTCTTATACTTTCATCATGGAAGTGTAGTATATGTTAGAAGTTAGAATGACTGGCGCTATCAAGTTGATTACATGGATGACACTCACATGACTACAAATTGTGTATCTAGTCTCACTTCAGTAGTTATACATGTAATTGCGATTTTCAAAGGTGATTTGTCCTTCCAAAGTTCTTTAATACAACTTGTTCTAAGCATCCCGCCTAGATTGGGAGGCGCGTGCATAAATCTTTGTGAGGCAATACGTAGAAATAGCTAGGCCCAGGAAGCCCAGCACCAAAAATGTAATTGTTGGTAAATCTATGGAGCGTGGCAAAGATCATAAAAGACCTCCATCATAAATATATTTGGTACGGCATCATGAGACTGGGAGTAGTAGAAAGCAAGTCACCAGGGCGGAGAGCACTCACGTCTCTCTCCTCAAAAAGTTTAGTAGGCACTGCGGGATTTAAATTCGACACGGCGCCCCAAATGACGCTAATTAATAAATAAACAGAGAGAGAGAGAGGTATGTTTATTGTACTACTCGAGTCATAGACTCTCTAGCACATTGGGCTCCTCTCTAGCCCAGGCAACCCCATGTACAGTTCTCTTATCCTCTTATGTTCCTCGATAGATCATTGATATATTGCTCGTGATGAATAGCCATTCAGCTCAGTGTTTACCCGTGGAAGTGGCCACCTTTTTCACGGAACCTTCTACCCATAAAAAAAAAATGGTAGCAACGGAAACTGCATGGGCGGGAAAAAGTCTCAATAAACCTGCAGCCCCAGCCAGGCCAGGCCTTGACACCTGGACCACATGAGGTGCGCATATTTATCTATATCTCCCTTCTTTGTAATAGTTGAGGCCAACTTGACCCAATCCACCATCGCCGTATCGGGTGCTGGGTACGCTCCGGAAATTCATCGGATGGCTTTTCCTCTATGGTCAAGAGATGGTGATGAGAAAGGCTTCAACCCTACCATCTGATCTGATCGTGGTTAGCATGATGATAATAGTGATGGAGGATTGTATTGAGAGATGAAGACGATACAAACTGTGAAAAGGATCGGGAATTCTAATCGGAGGACGCTTCTCCTCAATCTCGGCTATGCAATCACTACAGCGAGAGCCGTAGGGTTGTAGTGTACACTGCTAACAAATCTCGAGTTTTCGCCCCCGCGACTCTTCACGATCTTTCATAAAATTTCAATAAATTTTGGTAGATTGCATTATATAAGTAATTGGTAGAACGGTGCTTCGATAGTTCGCGCTGAGCAAGATGGAAATTATCGAATATCTCAGTCAGAAATGATGAAACTTCCTTCTTATTTGGATAACAAGGCTAGTCTTCCTACATGTTTGAAACCAGAATCGTACAAGAGATGAATTTAGATGACATTAGGTTAATCTTACTATGTCTGTTGGAACTGCATGATAGGTCCCACGGAACCTTTGATCAAAGCGGCTAGATTCATATACGAGTTGCCAAGCTTGTGAAATTTTTCATTAAGCTCCTTGATCCGTACCTAGCGTTACGAATGCAGGGTGCATGATCTGGGTGGCCCAAGCCAATCAATGTTATTAGTGCCGTGAGGCAACGCAAAAACCGGAAATGCGTCGTGGATAAATATGCGATTGAATTGAATTGAATAATTTAACGTATCAGGCTAAAGCCCTACACCCAGGAGGCTTGACACGGGTGCGTGTTCCCGTGGGGACCCACAAACACTACTGATACTGGCTTTATGTGGCCAGAAATTTACATGATCTAATAAAGACAAAAATTTCACCAAAAACTTTTGCTGCCCTGACTTAACGCCCTGCGCCTGGCCAGCTATCTCATAGCAGTTTCCTGTACTATATGTATCCCAGAAATCCTCGGTCATTCAAGTCCCACTTTGCACCCCGTAGCATCCTGTTACGGTAAGGAATCTATAAAAAGCTATCCATCCCTTTTCTCCCAACATTGTCCATATACTTGGTGCTGTTTCTTTTGTTGTTTTCTGCCATTCATTTAGCGCTGTCCGGCATTCAGAGAAATGCCACGGGCGTCTTTTTCGGCCACATTTGTGCATAAGATCTATTCCTTCGTGATGAAACCTCTTGTGATACTTGGCAAAATTGCCATGACCAGTCCTAGCCGCTATCAGACGATGATACGCCAATCTTGGAAGAGCTAGCTCTGGTGGTCGTTTTCGCTTCATCAACATATCCAGGTCTTTGTATCGACTGGGTCTGTTCTCTCTCCACCAAGAATCGACGGTCTCCTCAGCACGGTCTGATAAATATGCGATGATGTCTAACATGGCAACTTGAGAGACCAATTTTCGCAGAATAGGCATGGTGAAACATGAACAGCTGCCGGGCTCAGATGGGCCAAAACTAGAGTTCAAGGCAGGTGAGAGATTAGATCTGGCTAGACAAGTGGGTCCTTGAAGATCCAAACGACAAAACGGCGCACTAATCTGTGCATTCCCGCCCACCTCCCTCAACAAAAGAAAATATGATTCCACAGACACCATCCTCTGCTGATCCTCAGATTGTATCCTGCGGATGGTCGAGGGTCTGATAATGAATCGGTAGCGCCCGAGTGTTTCTGGAGATCAGATTAGTCAAAAAGAAACTATAGCTTCAAATGATCCTTTGTGAGCAGCAATTGGCCTATGATTTTTCAGTCCTGCCTAACAGCTACCGGAGCTATAGACATTGTAATCTCGAGGTCAGAGATTGCCCCACACCCAAGTTCTCGGTAGTCGCCTCACGAATTCAAGTGTTGCAAGATGATGGGCATTGTCGACTCATCCGCAAGAACCCCAGTCTTATCGGTTAGTCTGATTTTTAGCTCATTATCAGATAGCTCCACGACCTATCTCGTAGAGCCTTCCGAATCAATCCTACTTCAATTCACAAATGCGAAATAAGATTATCGACGCGCTTAGCTTCTTTTGCTTTGATCAAGTACAGTCGAATATCTAATTCAAATCGATCGTCACTGTAGTGTTTAATTTACAATGGAGATAAAAAAAAGGGCATTATTGAAGATATTGGTTACCCAGGCTCCACTAATCGTTAAAACGACGCTCCGGCATATTTTTGGTCTTTCAGAGCAATCAAAGTACTGGGACCTGCGGACTGAGTTGGTCATAGCCGTATTGAGGTATATGCTTAATGATGCACCACCTGTAACCATTTCGAGAGCCCAAGAACTTTCTATACGGGACCGCATCATCAAGGGAAACATGTGGGTCAGTAAACTAACCATTCCAAAACCGCCTGAGGATGATATTAGACAAGTTCTATTCAAAGCAATCGAGGGACTCAAGGAACTAGGAGACGCGTCAGGCGGATACCAGGAGCCCGACGTTCTACCTGTCGAAGCTGAGTGGACGGGATATCGAGCAGGAGTCTCGGCACAGTCGCCCGAACCGGCGATCTCCGAGGCCGAAAAGTTTACCGAAATGATGCGGGAGGTAACCTCGGAAGTGACAGTGTTATACTTTCATGGTGGCGGTTTATACCTCCTCGACCCAGCTAGTCACCGACCCGCTACTGCAATGCTGGCACGCCTTACCAAAGGACGATGTCTGTCCATCCGGTATCGCCTGGCCCCCCAAAATCCGTTTCCTGCTGCACTGCTCGATATACTCAGCGCATACTTAAGCCTCCTGTATCCGCCTCCTGATGCCCTTCACACGCCCGTCCCTTCTAATCGCATTGTCTTTGCAGGCGATAGCGCTGGTGGAAATCTTTGCTTTTCATTGCTCCAGGTCATCTTAGAAATTCAGCGGCAAGCTCTCTTTGTCACCTGGCACGGAATCCAACGCGAGGTGCCCCTACCAGCTGGGATCGCCACCTCAAGCCCATGGCTCGATGTAACTGGCTCGGCCCCTTCATATCAAGCCAATCGTGCCTACGATTACCTACCCACCCATCTCTCGAATTTCCCAGCCTGCGCTGCCTGGCCAACTCAGCCGCCGCGTCCCCACCTCTATACTAACGAGACCATGCTTCTCCACCCACTTGTGTCGCCTATTACAGCCAGTAGCTGGCAAGGCTGCTGTCCCATATATATTCAGACAGGCAAAGAGCTCCTTAGTGATGAGGATACTTTTAGCGCCATGAAGCTCGCTAACCTGGGCGTTACGGTGATCTACGAAGAATATGAATCTATGCCGCACTGCTTCGGATTTATCCTACCAAAACTACCGGAATCCAAGAAATTCTTCACCACCTGGGCTCGCACTATCAAGCTTATGGCAGAGACCCCTGACGCCCTTGTCCCAAGTGCCACCTTGGTTAAGGCAAAGAGTCTGGAGGAAGTTACGTTAGATCTTCAGACGCTAAGTACGTTCACGGAAGAGGAGATAATCCAGAAAATGCGAGAAAAAGTGGAGAAGATGACATTATCTGTTCCTAAACTCTAAGTTCTGCTCGTTTAGTAAAAATCATACAAGCAATTGTTCGAATCAGATGGCCTAGTCGTACGCTCTTGAACTGACAAAGATATTAAATTTTCTCTTGTAGATAGATCAGTAGATGATCATTTTTTCCTGCTAAAATAAAGGTTAATAAATAAAATAAAGCTATAAGCATTTTTGGATGATGATCCAATTTTGTGAAAAGCGACGCCTTGGTTTTCATAAATACCCACGCTAGTCACTGGCAGCTTCAAGCAATGCCATGCGGAAACTGTTATTGTAGCCCTGTAATCTAAGATTTTTCCAGCACTTATCGTACTCCAACATTTCGTATCTAGTAGTATAATTATTGGATCTCCGTCTCTACAAGCAAAATATTTTGACCGTAGATAGTGGCAACTGTTGGGATCCAAAACTATTGGTCAAACACCTATGCTTTGATTTCATATTTACGTCTGAACATCTCATCTACGTGTGAGAGAAAGAATACACCCTTTGCAATAGTATTAACATTTCCAGATGGTGTATAGTTCTTTTGAAGGTGTGCTTTTCTGCGAAGTTCACACATCTTCATAGGAATCTAAGTCAGTAATAGTCATGCAAATTGACTTGTAAATTACATACCTCTTCATAAACCACAGGCGCAACGGTCTGTCGTGCGGCAAGTCTTTCCTTGAGGCATAGGGTTTTTTGTAGCGTTTCTGTAGAGCCTACAACCTTCAATGAGAACATACTTGATGCTAAGCCACTTCCATAGCTGAAAACACCAATACGCTTTCCTTGGAGATCACAGCTGTCTATGTTACTCAGAAGACTGGCTAAGCCACTGTAAACACTTGCAGTGTACATATTTCCACACATTGTTGGGACTTCGATACTGGGTAAGACACGCTCGTTAAAACGTTTTTGAGTTAATCCCATGAAAGTTTTCTCAACTAGTTTGTCGGTCAAGGAGTTGATATACTCCATATCCTTAAGTTCTGCATTGACTCCTGCGAAAGCTTCTGCGGTAGGATTAACTAGAAAGTCGTTGTATAGAAGACGCGCATAGGATTTTGCGACGAGTTTGCAAGTAGGTGCATGAAAGACCATATAGTCAAATCGGTCCAGCGGCGTTGAACTACTGGCGGGATGGGTCTCGGTGGCAGCGTGACAATTTGTATGGCCTGTGAGAAGAGCTTTGAGGGTAACCTCACGTTTATTGTACGCTTTGTAACATGCATCAACTGCCTCAGTGTAGCATCTAACAGAAAAATGACCATCGACGATGGGGTACTCGCTAGTAAGATCTGGTTTGTAGAAATCGTACGCATGTTGCATGTATGAGCCTCGAAGGCCAGGTTCGACAACTAATGGCGCGTTGGGCCCAATCAGCAAAGCAACGGCACCTGCCCCACCGGTCGGACGCGCATTTCCTTTGGCATATAGAGCGATATCTCCTGTGACAACGATGGCATCACGTCCATCCCACGCGGAAGACTCGATCCAGTTTAGAGTGTTAAACACGGCATTGGTTCCACCATAGCAAGCATTGATGGTGTCGACACCTTCTATGTTAGTGTTGTCGCCAAATAGTTGCATAAGTACCGACTTGACTGATTTTGACTTATCCAGGAGCGTCTCTGTACCAACCTCCAAACGACCAATCGAATGTGTGTTTATGTTGTACTTACTCAAGAGGTTGGAGCATGCGGTCAGCGCAAAGGAATAAATATCTTTTAAACATTAGTAGATTCCTGGAAGACTTGAATTAGATATTTATAACCTTCTCGGTCGTCACAAAAGCTCATTTTGGTCTGACCGAGACCGATAGTATATTTTCCTTGGCTAACACCATCAAATATTTCTAGTTCTGACTGTTCAACACACTGTGAAGACGATTATTAGCCTCGGTCATTGTGAGATACCCCTATGACTCACTTGACTAGGAAAATAGATTTCAATGGCCTTAATTCCAATATTTTGTGGTCGGTCTAACATGACTTTTACTAAAGCAGTGTTGATATAAGTCAATTTTTATTAAGATGTGTAACGAATGCTTTGATCAGAGGGTCTAATGATTTCAATGAACGATAAATGCGAGCGCTTGTACCGTCGGCGGGCGAGGTAAGAATGATACTAAAGAGGGTGTAGTTGAATCGGCCGTATTTCGCATCCACAGATACTTTTTTTGACTCACCTCAGCCGAGGACAAAATATCTGAGTTACATACAAGGTGCCCCTGGAACAGTCTTCACCGAAATCATATCTGCACACGCCACCCGCATGACATTAATTTAGATCTACAACAATCCCAAATTATTGCTTGAGCCCTAATGTTTTCGGAATAGCCTTTTTAACTGCAATCAAGTTATCTGTAGGCTTTCAATAAAGGGACAGATTTGCATTGATGGTAGACTAACTGAGAATTCTAAGGATTGCCGTAGCAGGAAAGTTAGTGGGATTACTGCTCTCCGTTCATCAACATACCACAAAGCAGACGTTCATCTGCATCAATATTTATAGCTTTACAATGACCTCATGGAGACTATTCTTTTATGGATTTAGTCCAAGAAACATGTAGTCTATCATACCGGCAGATGAGGGAAGATACCGTCAAAATTTGTACTTGTGTCAAACGTCATGAGCAACTAACAGCTCTCTAGCATACAGGAGGCTTTTCACTACCCTAATATACGATATTGATTGTTTCATAGTACTATCCGGCTATTGACACAACCGGCAGCCCTAATGCTCCAGCAAGTTGATAGACAATCATCCCAGGCCCACCCTTGGTTCGTTATCTCACCGATTTTGTATCGTACTCCATGTTAGAGTTGCGCCAGAACTGGGTATGGGTAGCAGGGTGCTGCATCTTAGAATGTATTCCCCTGTTCTCTTCTGATTATTGCCAGCCGTGCTAGTGGCGGTGGAACGTCATGGCCTATCTACCCTGATCTTGCCTGACCTTTGTAGAGTATGTTCCATCGCGCTCAACACATCGAATCAAACACTCAACCACTCATGGCAGTGAATGATCAATCTAATCTTCATTTCTATTGAAATAAAATCAAAATTAGGGCGAATCCAAGAGGCTGAGAATATAGCCATACATTTGACAAATGAAGGATGGTTGTTGGTGATCAGAGTTTGCTTTCAGGCCGGCAATTTAAAATTATCACAGAGGTTTATTGAGAGAATTGCTGATTGGGCATAACTGAATGTGGTTTACTATTGAAAATGTAAATCTTTCTGACAGTCCATGCACCCATCGATGTCTTACAATTTACCCGGCGATATTTAGGTCATGAGCTAAGAACTCCATTTCCACTGTCAGTTTAGGAACCGTGAAGCCGATGGAGATCACTGCGTACAATCAGAATTTATTTAATTCACAATAATCACCATTAATTGAGGAAAGAAGGCTGAATACCTGTCAGCGGTGACCCCTACGAACCTAGGAGTTCGATATTCTCTCAGAACTGATATTCATTCACTTCAAAGAGTGTATTCAAGTCTTTTCGTCGAGATGGTGATCGGGTAGAGCGGTGTTGCCAAGTTTTTGGCCGGGAACCCGACCTGCGAAGACTTTACCGCACGACCTAACGATTTCTATTACCTTCACCCTAGATCTGAATCGCGGCCAGGATAAAATCTGTCTGATTTTTGTATTTAAACATCTGACTACACTCACTAACTGAAATTTTCTTGGAAGATCTTTGCCATCTTAACTCATCTCGCGATCGTCTCCATAATCATCTCACCACTTACCGAAGCACTTCAAAATCCGATAATCATACTTGAACTCAAACATAAAAGTAGGCATCTATACTTCTGCAACTATTGCGCGCGCGCTGTAAATATAAAGTCGAAGAACCGGCTTTATATTTCGTCTATGCCTCGGCCAAGGGCACCAAAGACTCGACCTGCGAATAATTGAATAGATACACGTGGTTGCTCACCGAAATTTTGCCGGCATGTCATCTAGAGCATTCCACGAAGGTTGAGGTATCGGTGTATTGGAGCCTCGATCTTGAGCATTTCGACCCATATTCGGCCTCCAAGGTTAAGGGAAGGGTAGCCACGGGCAATTGCCGGGGAGATGGAGAGTCTACAAAGTTTCCACGATGGTGATATTAATAGACGGTTTAAGGAAGGCTACATTGGAGGAAGAAAAAGAGGAAAAACTGAAGATGTCTCGTTTGTCAGCTGGATGAGGCAATTAATGTCACGGTTCAACTTGTTGTGGTTATGAGATATGCGGAAGTCTCATTGTGGAGTGACGAGGAGTGGATGATGTTATAATGTGTGGTTGACAGTGAATAGACTCATACAATACTATGCTGTAGGTATATGGACAGAAAGTATAAGACTAAACCTGTATCCATTTACTGTGGGTACATCTATGAAACTATATACATGCTCGCCTAACCAGTACACTAGTGATGTCTGCTGTGGCCTTGAGCCACACGCGATGCCCTAGCCTTGACTACCTCGTTGTCTCATATCATAACACAAGTGTCGATGCTGGAGCAATCAGATATACAAAGGTAGTTTATAATTTTCTCTGTGGCTAACTGTCAGAGTATTACTTCAACTGTTTATACATTTATGAAGATCTCTAGAATACTCGTTGACTGATATCTGCTTCTCGTGTATTCCAGTCATGGTAGTTCCCAGTCTTGCTACCAATTACTAGAATGTTCTAGTTACAGCTGAACTGATCTGGAAAAAAGCTAGACTACTGTAGAATTACAGAAGCACATGAATACAATCACGTGCCAAACAACAATCGGCTCACAAGCTGTCAAACATCTGATGGTTTGGAACCTACTGAGTATGGTAATGAGAATCATTGGATAGTGGGATGACACATCTTGTCGGATTAACTAACTCGAGCTTTGATATCTCACCAGGGATATGGTGTTCAGGATGTTCAGGATAGTCATAGCTCCAACTTGAGATCTTTTGATCTTCAACACATGTAATATATTTCATATGTAATTTTTGGAAACGAGGAGAAGGTAATCTCTCATCGAAATAGTTTCAGATGGGTATATAGCATCATTTCTGGAGAGAAGTTGAGGAGCAGAGATTTCATCAATACAACTTAAATTTACATTTTCCATTTGACCCTCAGTGTCTAACACAAACCGTTACAATTAATGAAGAAAACAACATCTGGATGAGATGACGAGATGCTAAGATGAGACATGACTGGGACAGAAGGCAAAGGACAAATTAGAGATTGGAAAGTTGTCAAGAGCTGAGGTGCGTGTTCACCGAGTCTGAGCTTGAAATCACGCTTCGGAGTATCAAAGTGGGGTTCTATGGAATACTGGACTTGACATGTTTAGTAAATGGTAGAAGTCTGAAATGGGACAAGGTCTATTATACTTATTTGATGGTTATTCTTATCTAGTCCGGCCCTTCTAATGCGTAAACTTCCAAATGGTACCAATTTCCTAGTATGTATATTCATGAGCAAAAAACGGTTGTTTTACAAAAACATTTGGACACATCCAAGTACATGGCTGCACATAAAGCAAATTAAGTTGGAAAAAGCACAATTTATTAAGGAAACAATGACCCCTCAGTCATGGAGGTTGTAGAGCGCATTGATTCAAGTGACTACCGAAGTGAAACTAAGTACAGAATTTGTAGTCACGTGTGTACCAACAACGTGGCCTACTTGATAGCCCCAATGATTCTATTTTCTAACACAATTGATTAATAGATAGGATGTAATAACGGAGTTTTCGGGACTAGAATTACATATCCACTCTTTCATAGCTAGAAATTTGGATACAATTTAGGTAAGAAATCTTGAATTTATTTTTTAAAAAAGGCAATTAAAGGGCCTGCAAGTACCTATATTTTCGTAGACTACGTTTCAGAAAATAGCCCCCACAATAACATAGAAATTACAAAGAAAATGCTCGTGGACCTGGTATCTAGAATGCATGCAGCAAAACTTCATCTATCGGAAACTCTGAATCCGGCTTACAACTACTTGAATTCTCCCGAAAGCCGTATAAACATACAAAACAGTCAGTTACGAATGTAAAAGGAGAATGAGTTTTCTTTACTAATTATTCGACAAATATGCTACCATCACCGACCGATACAACAATTAGATTGTCCCCTTGAAGGTAAACATTAATTGGTTTTGTAAGATCTCTGAATAAAATAACTTGCGCTCGTACCGATTTCTATACACGAGCATTCCTCCGTTGACACAAAGACTTACGAGACAAATACACTCTAAGATTTCTTGCCATACGCTTTCACTAGTTGAAGCTTGAGACTAGCACGAATAAAGATTAGCGATGTGTTACATGCAAACCTGCCAAATTGTTCCCATAATTAAGCTTGTGGACAGGTGGGACCAGCAACTATGATGACTATTCTGGGTTAGTTGCCACGCTAACAAATTAAGCGAAGGCGTCTAGCGCGATTTTGAAGTATAAATATGGGGAGCAGGACACAACACTGCTTCTCTTCTTCATACTTACCTTCTTGACACTGAGGCGCTCAAGCAAGCTTTCAGTGGCGACACGAAACCTCCATTGCACATCGGGGCGTTGAGAGTCGTTGACTTTCCTTCGGGGACGTCATCGGGGGAATTTTTGATTGCAAACGGATCTGATCCAAGCTTTTCATTGTCAGACGACTGAGGTGGTCTACGAAGAAGAGAATTACGTTGATTTTATATTAGTAGTGGGTAGAGTGATATTGCAGAGAAACAGAGGGTAAAATGAGCATAATAAGCGTGACTGCCAAAATGTAGTGGGTGGCGAGGATATAATTGTCTTGTGAAACTTGATCGTCATCATTTGTTACACTAACCATAGATGTCCAAGTAAATGTATAAACAGACTGGATACTATTCAGATAGTTGCAGACTAACCTCGTGTATCTGATTGCTCGTGCATCACATCTCAAACTGACGAAAAACAAATGATTGAACAACGCCACATTAAAAAGGAAATAATGACTCC